CCCCCACCCCCCACCCACACCCACACCCACACCCACACCCACACCCTTCGAAAAAATAATACACGATGTCTTCGTTTATATTCTCGCTTCAAACAAATTAGAATGTAACAGTAATCAGTCTAATATTCGTGGTTGTTTCAACGATACTAATATATTACTTCGACAGATACATGATGACTATATGGTTTACGCATCTGACGAAGTCTCTGATGTAGACTTCGCTAGAGTGAACACGAATGAGAGCACAACGCGTTGTATAAATCCACGACTAATTCAGTGGAAATGTTGTCAGATAATGGTGGATCTCTTTCGTCAAATGCCATGCCCACGTAAACAGTCAGTACATAAACTATTACAACTTTTTAGATCTGAATTTCACAATAATACTGCCGAATTACAGAAGATTGCCGAATTTGAGCGAGCGTACACACCGAATAACGCTATTCACTGGTACACTAGCAAGTGTTTTCTATATCATTTCTTGCATCAGAATCTACGAGCTAATAATATTGATGCAATCACGGCTTTCTCATATATTCTTAATGATATTTACGATCAGCTGAGTGAGCTACGTCTCCAATATGATGAACAAATGGCATCATCTCGTAGAGTTTTTTATGGTCAGATAATGCGCTTCGATGAATTGCAGAAGTTTCAGCTTAACATTGGCGGATTCATTTCAAATATTTCGTTAATGTCAACAAACTTAGATTGGCGAACGGCTGAGGTATACGCAGGAGATGGTGCATATATTTTAGATCGCCCAAATGTTATAATTGAAATTTCTATTGAGTCGACTTTATTTTTTTCGAAGCCACTTGCAAATGTATCCTCTATATCGCAGACTTCAAACGAACAGGAAATATTCTTTACAAATGGCCATATATTTCGAATTGATTCATGCCAACACGCTGACAAGAATACATGGCTCATTCGATTAACTTTATGTGATAATTCCTATCCCATTGTACAAAACTCGTCTGATTATTTTGATATTGCCATATTACGATTATTAGAAATTCTACCAAAGATTTCCCCAAAAACAAACAAGGCGAATGATTGCATATTTCAACGCTGGCGCAATTATTGTGTCGATAATCCAGCTGAACAGGCGAAAATTGATCAGTTTGAAGAGAGTTATCGTTCCGACTCAGCTATTCGTTGGTATACTAAAGACTCTCTTCTCTATCGTTTACTAAATGAAGCCCTTCGACATGAAAATATTGATATGATTATTGATTTCCGTTATTTTATTGTTGATTTATATGAAGAATTAACAAAATCATATCTAGATTATGTGAGAAGTTTCAAAGAACCAAATTTGACCGTTTATAGGGGTCAAAAGATCAGTTTACGTGAGTTACGAAGGTTAAAACATCATATTGGAAATTATATTTCTATCACACCATTGTTTTCTGCATCATTATCAAGTCAAGTTGCTCTATATTTTGCTGAACTGAATGAAATTGATCGAAAACAACTCCTTCAATCAGTACTATTTCAAATCGATATTGATATGACTAAGTTAACAAAATCCTATAAAAATCATCTATTTGCCAATATTATAAATATGAGTCATTTTGTTGATGAAGACGAAATACTTTTCATGGTAAATACACAATTTCGAATTCATTCGGTCACGAATTGGGATGATCAATTTTGGCTTGTACGTTTGACTCTTTTGAGTCAAGACGATGAAAATAGCGAGGAAATGAAACTAATGAATCGTTATCTTGATTATTTAATCAATATGGCTATACAAGCTTATGGGGACAATATATGGTCTTTGTTCAGAAATCATAATCAAACATAAACACATTTTTCGTTTCTAATAAACAATATACACATAACATGGAGGTTTTTTCTTCTATGAAATCCATCATATCTCTCAATTGATTGATGTGTTCATTTAGTTAGAACAAATATTAACAAAACTCATCAGTTAGACAAGCTGATTTCTTCCTCTTCTCCCTCAACCATAGTAAAAACTCGGCCGATAAAAGTTTTAATCTATTAGAAAGTTCAAAAGTCATACTTAACAAGCGCTCAAATCATTGAATAATGATTTTCATATTAGAGGACTGCACCCCGTCCCTAGCCTACTCGTGTGGGTAGAATAGGATTCGGGCACGTTTTTAGGATATGGGATAAGATCGGGCGGGTTGAAAATCTTCGCGAGTACACTCTTAAAAATCGTACCCTCGGGTGTGGGTGTAAAATGTGACCCTTATCTTCATTGACATCCATACCCACATCCAAACCCACATACCCACACCCACATCCAAACCCACATCCAAACCCACATACCCACACCCACACACAAACCCACATACCCACACCCACACCCAGACCCACATACCCACACCCACACCCAAACCCACATACCCACACCCCACACCCACACTAACACCCACACCCACCCTCAACATATGATGTTAAACGTTTTTTTTCGCATCCATAGCTAGATTCACGGAACGCTGAGGTAGATGAGTATGTGAATGTAAAACGTCATGTAAATAGCGTGCTACTTTGTCGATTTTATATGGTACAACTGAGAAAGAATTAGTAACCACTTCTTAGTTTCCAAGAAACTATGATAGATATTCTGAAAATTGTCAGACAACTCGGTAATTTCGATTTTCAAATTTTTAGGACCTTTTGTGCCTATAAGCCAATTAAATCTTAGCTTCAGTATGAAAAAGGTTGATCGCAATAAAAGCCTATATCCAAACTTATAACTTTCAAAACAAATTAAAAGCCCAGTGGGCTTCTATTCTGTAGGGAGAGTTATTCCAAACCATTTCAATGTTTGGAGGCAAAATGCGTTCTTTCTCTTGCACGATCGTGTTGTCTGAAGGACAAAGTTTGAATATCACTGATAAGTGTTTTTTGTATGCACATCAACAGATGCCAAATATTCTCATATCGCAATGTAGAAGTATAAAATATCTCATATTTTCATTTTTTTTCCTAGCTCTTATTTTATACTCGATTGTCAACATGATTAGTTCGTCTTTCCTTTTGATTCTGGTTGCCGCAATATGCGTTGCGACTGTTTTATCAGATAATGAACACGATATTGTACATATTGTTAATTCGGGTTCGACAAATACTGCTGGTTATACAATCGAATTACAACGTCATGGAATAGTCAAATGGACTGTAGCACATCGATTTCGTCCAGTCTTTTTAACCACACCCTCAACACCAAGTAGTACAACGGGAATGATGAGCATCCGCCTTCCAATGGCTCTTACTAATGGTGTATTTGAAGCTGTTCAACAGGCTTCACCACTCAATCAATTCGCTCCCATTTTCTGCATCAAGAGTGTCTCACTTGGTACTTCCCTTCATGTCACTTACAATGGCCAGCAAAGTCCTGATCTGAGTTGTCCATTGAAAGATAATCGTCTTATTGCTTTGAATAAGGCTGTACACGAAGTGATCTCTGCTCTTCAAATTCACACTTTCAATTCTTTCAATTAAATAAAAAGAAAACAAATCAAGAAAGTGTTTAAAAGCTCAACTAAGAATTACGATCGTGTCTCATCATCTCTACAGTACAGTCGGTACGATAAATACGAGAATATCCTGAAATTATTGAATGAAATAAATCATCGCTCGGATTCCATTTATAATAATATTATTTCTAGCACCTACTTTCAGTACTATGATCCACATTTCACACGAATTTGATTCAACAACACTTCATTTTGTATAGACTCATTAGGTTGACTTATAGATCTAAGATTAATACAAATGTAACTTATCATATGTTTACACTCTTATGATAAAGTATTATATCTTAAAAGATGACTTGCTATTCTCATCTAATTATTACTCAAACATATTACAGACCGATATATAGTTTGTTTGTCGATCGTATAAATAAAAGCCAGTCTCTCTTTTGGTGGTCGCTTCATGCAGGAACATCATTTCGATCTTGTTCTATATTTTATTATCTATGCATCGCTTTTCTCGATGAATTGTTTATGTTTGTCAAAACTATCTACCTCACAATAAGCTTTAAAAAATGCGAGACGATCAGAACGAAAAATTGTTGTCAAAGTGTTTCTACCGAAAAAATTCTTTTCAGCTTTATGAAGAATTTCTTTCTTCACTAATATAAACAGCTGTCATTCACTCATTAACTTTGACATGGACATAGCACCTGCTTAGCGGCGTAATTCATTTGTTTCGCCAGAATGACGATCACAATTCTCTCGGATCTCTACTATCTGCTCCATTACTGCCACGATAACTGTTCGTTCTTCATTTAATATCGTGTTTTCAAGAAAAAAAATACGAAGTAAATGACGCAAATATTCGAAAAATAATTATCATATTATGATAAAAATTTGAATAGGTCTTCCGTAACATAATTTGATTGTTCATTCGATTAGTTAGAAGCATTTTCTCATCTCATTTATGTCAACAAGTATATATGTCGATGGTATTTATTTAACTAAATTTAAGGTTTCATCTGAAAAATTTCAGAATATTTACTTCATACCTGACAAGTGCTCTATGTCCAATATTGATTTAAAATAAATGAAATGCAGAACAATTTGGTCGTAATATATAAGACCGATCATAAGTCTCCATTTTGACACCAAACGTCTAATAAAAAAATCAAGTGATGGCAATGCTTCTACCATTTGTCGTACTCGCTGTTCTTCTTCTCCTCCAACCAGTTGTCAGTAAGTACTGCATTCAAAGAAATACAGTTAGGATCTCAAATTACATTTGTTTTCTTAGGTCAAACAATTCGAACAACATCTGGATGTTCGGTTCCACTCTGTTCATCAAGAAACAGTTCTTGTTCACAGACATGCTATGCCTACACGGTTCCACTGACCAATCAAACATTCTGCGCTCCTTCAATTTCTTGTTCACTTTTTGAACCGTGTACTGACAATATTTTCTGTTCATCAAGTGGTAGTATTTGTTTATCCAGTACATGTTGTTCTCAACCAATCTGTGTGCCTATCAGCTTGGGTGTTATAACTTGTAATGCAAGTAAGTGAAGTGATCGTTGGGTGCAGTAATAGAGTGAAATCTAATATACAGACTATCGACGACAAAACGCTTGCGAATGGTATTTTCGATCTAAAACATCGAGAATACAATCAAAAAGAATTTTCTTGGATATATTTAGATAGTGCAAGAAAAGCTGTACAAAATGGTAATAAAATGTTAATATGAAGGTACAACATGCGAATATACTGTTTGAATCTTTTTGATACATGATCGAACAACATTTAATGACAAGTTACTACAGGATGAGTAAAAATATTTTTCCAGAGAGTAACGCTGTGATTTTAAATAGAGTCAGTAGAAAATTTTATATCAAATGGAAGCGCGTCAAAAATGGGATATATCAGTATTAAATAATAAGTGTTCTGTCAATCTTTTTATATAAAATATAACAAATTTCTAGAAATGAATTATGTTTGATATAAAAAGATTGACAGAATTATTACCATTTAATACTGATAAATCCCATTTTTGACGTGCCTTCATTTGATATAAAATTTATCATTGACCATATTTAAAATCACAGCATTACTTCCACAAAAACCATTTTATGCAACCTGTTTCTAGAGATTTGTTATGTTTGATATAAGAAGTTTTGTAGAACCCTTACCATTTAATACCGATAAAACCCGTTTTGACGCGCTTTCATTTGATATAAAATTTGCTATTGACTCTATTTAAAATCACAGTATTACTCTCTGGAAAAATATTTTTACTCATCCTGTAGTAACTTGTCATTAAATGTTGTTCGATCATGTATCAAAAAGACTCAAACAGGATATTCGCATGTTGTACCTTCATATTAACATTTTATTATCATTTTGTACAGCTTTTCTTGCGCTATCTAAATATATCCAAGAAAATTCTTTTTGATTGTATTCTCGATGTTCTAGATCGAAAATACCATTCGCAAGCGTTTTGCCGTCGGTAGAGAGATACCGTAGACAACAGAAGGAATCAGAAATCGTTGATATGTATATAGAGAGACAATTATGCACAAAATATGAATGAGTCATCTATCACACCAATAAGCTTAAAGAAACAAATTTCTACAACAGACTACTCTTCAAGTTGTTCTGTCACTTTTGTTGTGACCAGAGTATGGAATCTATCATATTAGGCAAGGAAGCTGCGTCACTATTGATGTTACTCTTTCATTGTTATTTTTACTTCATCTTTCCTTCTCAATCTCTTTCTCTACATATTTGTCTTTTCTGTATTCATCTTTCTTCTATATAAACGTGTATTGTTCATCAACTATTCACGTTCTAGAGATATATAGTGTCTTGATAAACATCGTTATCGAGGGTGACAGTAAAGCTACTCTTCAAGTTTGTCATTAGAGAGGCTAGTAAAGAATAACACTTTTGAATCTTCGATATATTCGTTTATCAGAAAGAATTAGTTTTTCATAACTTTTCCTCCTAGTCGTGCCAACTACACTCCCAACTCAATGCTATAGCCATGTTGTCAATTCTGATCCGACACGCAACGTAGCATATACTCAATCAACTAACATGTGTGATAACTTAGAATTCGCAGCTCCAAAATGGGTTCGATTTAGTGGAGCAGCCGGTACTCAACTAGCTTCGTCGAGTCTGATGACGGGTCGTTGTGGCACGACGTATCCAAGCTATCTCAATGACACACTTCCAATGCAAGTGGGCGAAACAAAGACAACCACAATATGCTTTTCCAACTACTATGGCGGTTGCAATTAGCAAACTAGAATCTTCGTGACCAATTGTCTGAATTACTTTGTCTATTACCTTTCTGCTCCACCTTCTTGCAATCTTCGTTATTGCACAGCCTGATTGACACTTCGAATCAGCACTCGGATCATACAATTTTTATTCTTTACTATACACTAGTATAATACATTCTTGAATAAATCTATCATCAATATCTAGTTTGATCTGAATACATATCTTGAGAATGGAATGAGCAAGTATAAATGACGAAAGAGATGATTTTTCAAAGAAGAAATTCATCTTTGTATTATACTTCGTAGATAACAAGTGTATGTTAGGAATTGAAAAAGAATGTCTATATGAGAATAGTAGATTATTGGAAGTGTCGAACCTAGAGCACACCAAGACATGTCTTAATCCCGATTTTTAGATTGAGTCGAACTACTTATGGCTGAAATGAACGGAAGGAGAAGAAGTTCGTAAAATGCTGTTCATTAGAAAAGATCACTATATATTAAAAACGCCTGGCGTGCTCTATTTTATCGTGTAAAGTTTCTATCCAGATTCTATATCTAACCTTGAACATTGATGTCATTAACAGATTTATTAGATTTTGTCACAGTGAGAGTGGATGAGGGTGACGGTGAGGACCTGTATATATCACACTTCGGAATCCAGCTAAATAAACTGATCAGTATACATAAACTAAAGATCTAGCAACAGTGTCTGAGAACTGTGAAATGGAAGTGGTCCTCTTCATTATACTATAACGAAAATGAAGTTACCTATAGTCACCTCCAGAGCGAACTCCACAATACATACGATGGATGTGTCGAGTGCTTCAAACATTTTCAAAATCTTTTTTTCTCATGCGAGTTTTAATTTTCTCGTGAGGTCTCGATTTTCGAGTCCTCGAGGAAATTTAATACCATCGGACAGTTAATTTCCATTACTCGACATTTGTTGAATTCTTTAGCACTCAATGAAAACTATGCCGTCGAAGAGATACTTTTGAGTGTTCAGACCACATTTCATCAGTGAAAAAGCATGCATTCTTCAAAGGATCGGTAACAGAGCACCTCATGGGATGGAATGGGACAGAAAAAACCGTCCCATGGAATGAACTGCCATAAATTGTCCCATGGAATGGAATATCTTTCAAAATTTTCTATCCCAGATGGGATGGAACAACCTTCAAAAAGCTTCTGTCCCATGGGATGGGATACTTCTAAAAACTTGCATCCCATCCCATCCCATAGGACATCATATTAGTCAAATTGTTTTCAAAAAAGTAAAATTTACTAACACATTTATCTGTTTGACTAATTATATAATGTTATATTATTCCACCGTGCATCTCATAACTTTATTATAATCAAGTTCTCAATTTTTTATATTTACAAGGAACAACATACGCTATCAGTTATTACTAAAATCTGAAGGGTGTGGGTGTGTGGGTAGGTGTGGGGTGTGGGTAGATGTGGGTGTGTGGGTAGGTATGGGGTGTGGGTAGATGTGGGTGTGTGGGTAGGTGTGGGGTGTGGGTGGATGTGAGGTGTGGGTGTGGGATCCTATCTTCTATGAGAACCACGCCCACACCCACACTAACACCCGCACCCACACCCACACCCACCCCTTATAGGAAAAACGAGTTTCTTAGGGTAAATCAAGGTGAAGAGTTCAAATCTGAGGTGTATCTGCCTCCAAATCCTATTGGTTGAGCAGTAGCCAATAGAAATCAAGTGTTTATACAAAAGGTTTGCCAGGACAGTGTTGATGTCCACACATTCTAGAATGACTCCTCTGTCTCATCCACTTTTTGAAGTACACATAACTCTCGGATTTAAATCCGAGGTTTCCGCATTTTTTTTACATGAAAATTGTCTCTTGTTATCCTGAATTAAATTCAGTCATGAATGATGAAGATGATGATTCAGATGTGAATTTAAGTGAGATTGAAGAAAGAAATAAGTATATCGGCAACAATTTTTGCACAAAATGTTGATAGAGCAACACATATGTCCCTAAAAAAGGTGGTATATATATTTGATAGTAAAACAACTGCTTTCCGAACTTTTTTCGAATTTTGGTTAAAACATTTTGATTTCTAACTTTTCGATCTGGCAACCCTGGTTCAGTACGAGAAGAATTCCTTAATAGTCTATGAAAATTGAAATACGTCAAAGGTATCAAAACTTGTTACACTCGATAATGTTTTTCTAATGATTTTATTCGACTGATAAACAAGTAGAAAAAAAATTTTGCATTCTTTTTGAAAACTATTGTTTAATTGCTGAGAAGCGAGTTCGTATTCAGACTTTGCTATTGTATCGAACAATCAAACAATGTTTATAGAAAAAGTATACATAGTTTTTTTCTTAAGTATATGACCAGTAAAGCCTTAGAAAAAATATCGAACTTGTGAGATTAGATCATTTTATAATATATATATATATATTTGTAAATCTAGCTTTTCCGATAATAACATTGTTCAAGTCTATTAACGACAGAATATTTTCACAAGTAACTCAACAGACGCTATAATTTTTTCTTTTTGACTAGTAAAATATATTTCATTGAATAATATTTAATAACATTGTAAAATTAATATTAATTTTCATTTAATTTCTCTTATATTCCATTCCAATTAAATACTAATTATATATGTTAATATTTTGTTCGTTATAACAATATTGTCATCTAATACATATTCATTTTTATTAATATTAAAATGTTTCCGAATTTGGTATAGTATTAATTCATATTTTCGTTTTAATAGTTGTATTGAATAATAAATCAAGTAATAGACTATTAATCATATGCTGATGATGAAAATAATAATAATGAAGAAATCTGACAATGTTGTTGTTTAATTATTAGTTAAATTAATTGTACACATGGATTTATCAACATTATTCATTAAACATAAAATTCTCCAAATCACTAAAAACATTATTATATATATATATTTTAATCTTTTTTCTTCATTGATTAATACATACTTGTACATGAATAACAAATTGTTGATCTTGATGTGTATAGAATAGATATGTCGATATAAATAAATTTTTATTCAAAAGAAGAATATATCTTGTTTCATTCTTTTCTGTTGTAATAAATCCACCTAACAAAGAAAGATTTTTTCAAACTTCTGTAATGGATTATTTTGATCTAAAATTTTGTTGATATTTAGATATGTTCATCCAAAAAGAATATTATTGTAAAAATTTAAATGTTTAAAAACTTCCATTGTTTTGTTTTTTTCGATAGTCTATGAAATTGAATCAACAGTTTTTAACATTAAGTATGTCTACTTAAGTAATAGTTCGTCTGATGTAATATATTTTGTATTTTATCATAGCAAATAAAATAATTATACATAAATGTTGTTATTGAGTATCATTAATAAAAATAAACAAAACAATTCCATTTTCATTCCAAATGAGATACAATCTAAAAAAATTCATAAATAAATCATTATATATGTTAATATTAACAAGAGAGAAAGGAAAGAAAAAAGAAATATATGTGAAGAGAGGAATTTTCTTTTTTTTTTGTCTTTCTCTCGTCCATAAGTCATTGTTCATGTTGTTATCATTGACGATCAATGATCAACATGTACAATTAAATATGTATATCATTTTCGACGAGAGAAAAAAATGATTTTTCAAGGTATATATACGAATGATTTTCTATGTAAAATCATTCAAATTTTTGAATCAAATAATAATCATTTTTCTTTTCTGTTTTAGATTGGCTTCAACCAAACAATATGAAACAATTCAACAACAAACCAGACAATAAAATAAAATGTAGGTATCAGTTTTACTTTTTTTTTATTTTACGATCATAAGGATGGCGGCGTAAGGCCTCCTTTGATCTTTTTATTATTTTTTATTTTATTTTAGGGAATAAACAATGAAGAAAAAGATAACATTAGGGTAAGTCATCTCATTCTATTTCATTAAATAACATTGATTAAATTTTTTTTTCTGTTTCTTTCAGCTATCAATATCATCGCGTCATTAACATCAGACACGGTAAGTAATTTTTTTTTTGAGATGAGAATAGGTAGTGAGATTGAGGGGTTAGGGTGAGACTAAGAAAAGTGAGTGTTAGTAGAGAGTGGATGAGTCATGTACATTGAGGTTAGGTCCCTGTTAGTTACAGGCCTTCCGGGTAGGCCCTAAAAACTCGGCCAGGAATCGTCTTGGTGTCCGTGGCACACGACCAGGCTTATTCAGACTCATTGACATGTCTCTCGCGGGGAGGGTATGAATGGTATGAGTCTGTCCTGTGCGTGCATGAGCGTTACGCTCGCCACGGCTCCACCAGGATGGTTCCTGGTCGCGCGCGAATACAATAAGACATTCATTTGATCAATTCAACGTGATTTATTTGAAACGAAAGGAACGCAAAAAAGAAATCTATCATGACGAGTCTATTCGATTGAAAAGCGTTGAACACGATTATTCCCATTATCGACGACATAGAGGTTTCCATGTCGATCAAAGGACAAACCTCCAAGAAAATTGAACTGATTTGCTTCTGCTCCTGGGACATTTCCACCCACAATGACAGTGCCCTGTTTCGCTCCTTTAGGCCAACGCATCACTCGATAATTGAGCGAGTCTGCTACGTAGATGGTACCCAATGTATCGACGAACAGTCCATTAGGATAATACATCTGTGTCAGAGCATTCCCTTCGGCTTGACCTCCAGCGACGACAATTCCTTCTTTTGCACCTTTATTCCATTTCATCACGCGATGATTGAGGCTGTCTGATACGTGGACAGTCTGTTGTTGATCGACAAAGATGTAGGTCGGAAAGTTGAGTTGATTGAGACCAGCACCTTCGCCATTGTCACCAGCTACAAGAGTTCCATTCTTGTCTCCTATTTGATATCGTCTTACTTCATGTTTGTCGTAGTCAGAGATGTAGAGATATCTCTGATCATCTATGGCCAATCCATAACAATCGATGTTATCGATGAGGATTTCTCCTTGAGTTGTACCACTACGACGAGACCATCGTATGACTCGCCAATTCTCTTTATCACAAATAATGAGACTATCCGTCTCTTTGTCGATCAACACGTCGGTTGGTTGAGCCAATTGGTCCAATCGATTTCCTTCGCCATTGCCACCAGCTACTATTTGTCCATACGTATCACCCATCTTCCATTGAATGATACGATGATTGTAGCAGTCAGCGATGACTATTGTTTGATCATCATCAACGACGAGACCAAAAGGCCAGTAGAGTTGATTGGTGGCATTGCCTTGTCCATGACCTCCAGCAACAGTCACTCCATTCTGTTTCCATCGGACATCGGCTGGAATATTGAGAATTACTACAATGAACAAAAAAGAAAAGAAATCGTCGTCATCGAAGGGATCTCGTCTCTCGTGGGAGTAAGCGCTACAAAGATGACATTCGTCTTTGAGAATGCTCATTCCACAGATAAAAATTCAAAAGTCTTTTCCTAGTTTCTTATGAGAAAAAAAGGATGTGGTAATGATTTTTACATCTATGTTACTTCTAGTTCTTGCCAAGATCTTTTTGATCATAAAAATAACACCTTGAGATTGTTGTAAGGAGAATCTCCAAGAAAGCGTAATATTAATTCCATGTAAGTTTTTGATAGAAAAACATAAGGATCTGAGGATTTTTTTCAGAATTGCAAGAATTCAGAATCTTTTTGGCAGAATAATCATTTATATGAACATCAGAGAAGATTCTATCTGTATCTTGTGAGAAGAATATCGAATCGTTGAACAGAAAAATATCAAACCTAATCCCTATGTTTTTTAGGAAACCTTAAGGTTACATGATTTTCTGTATGATGAATGTAGATCTGCCGAGGAATTTCCTAAGTATTTGCATAGAGAATGCCGGTGAAATTTTATAAGACTTTTGGTAAGTTATGTCAAGCTTTTCGAAGAACAACCGTGATGAACTCTGAGTAAGATCATGAGAAGGCTTGGATACAGGCGAAACTGAACAAAGTTGAGAGGATTCCATGCGAATCTATGTAATCTGAGAGGGCTTCTACTTTTGCAAATGCTGAAAAGATGGATGTCAATCCGAACGGAGCTCTCCAGTGACAAACATTGGGATCTATGGATTTTATGGGCTTTGGAAAAGGACGATGATAATGGGATAGGCAGAAAGTGTTTTAAAATGCTATTTTTAACTTTTGATGAACACCATCTTCAAACCACTGTATAAGGCTCCTCAAAGAGAATCTTGGTGACTAAATAATCTACCCTGTCAAAATCTGAATATCTAAAAATAATGAGTATCTTCTATGAGGATCATGCTATAATCCTTATGTAGTACTTGTTCTGAGAAGTCTTCTGTAAGCTCGCATGTTATGGATATGTTCAGGAGGATCTGAAGAGTAAGTATTTTGAAATGGTTGATATCAGAGATGGGCAATTCCAACTCCGAATTTGACGCTTTTTCTCATCAGAGTAAGAGTGGGGTTATATGGAGTAGGAGCGGGGTAGAATGGAGGTGCCTATCTCTGAATTTTATGAGAAAGTTTATAAAGCAATAAATTAATGTGCTACTAATTGATATCAATCGTAGATTTAATTAAGTTCAAAAACTTATGTGTATTTAAGAGTATTTTGGCAGAAGTTCAGCTTTGTAAAATCCAACTGGAATTGAAGTTAAATCGGAGTTGGAGTAGGATTTTATGAAAAAGGAGTGGAGTGGTGTAGGGTTGGAGCGGAACACACTGCAGTTGAAATTGATGTGGAGTTTTAGAAAATAGGACTGGAGTTATGTGGAGTTCGAGCGGGACATAGTGTAGTTACCCATCTCTGCCTAGTACACAAATGTCGATCCTAATCAGTACCCAGGACAACTTCTCTGGAATATTAGGAATTACTACAATGAACGAAATAGAAAAGAGATCGTCATTATCGAACAGATTTTTGTCTCTCATACATGAGAAAGTACTATAAATGAGACAGTGTTTCTGTAACGTAGTCTTTAAAAAAAACATCGTAAGGAAATGCTTTCGATGTCGAGGAAGAGAAAACTGCTTAACATGAAATTCTAAGGAGATTTCTATGTTGTAGTTTAGTATTAGAATTTGAAAAGGAAATCTTATGATTCTTTCAGCGATATTCAGCTCATTTTCGTATGATATAGGATGTTCGAAAGAAGAAATAAAATGATGAAATGTAATATCAAGGTGCTTAAAGTCGTGTGCACTTTAAGTTTTTCATGATAGAGGTTGAAAAACGATCTCTGTAAAACATTAATTATGATTTGTGTCTAAGCCGCTCTTTTAATTGTATAACTTTTTTTTTTATAAAAGTCAATCCTTTTTTCAATTAAGCATAAACTATCATTCATCAGCCATGTTTGATACTTGTGATACAATATCATCTTAATACATTAAGTAGTTTCATTAGACTAAAAAGACTTTCAATAAAATGATGAAAACTCGTTATAGTTTTATCAAAAAATTTTTTTTGATTTGTTCCAAATTCTAAATTGTTTTTAGATCTGTTTTCTTAGTAACGAAAAGAAATTATTATCATACTTAAACATATTTGTTAAAGCAATAATGAAATACGAACAATAATATCGAATCGATATAATACAGCTTACAAATTCTTTCGTAGAATTTCTTAACCTACATGATATAAATATATTTAGTTTGTTTTTCGATGATTTTCTGAATGACATTCGAATCTACTATTATCATAATAATATAATAGTAAATAATTTCTAATATCGAAAAAAAATATCATTTTTTTCTCGCTAGAAATTCTAGAAGTTATGAAAAGAGTCTATGAGCGGATATTTATTTAATCAAGTTTATTAATTTGAAGCAAAAAAATTCTCGAAAATGACCTCAAGTAAAAAAAGAGATGTTCCCAGATTTTTTAAAATGTTTATAAGATATGCAATCTAGTCACGAGGGAACCCCACCAACTGATTAAAAGCTTTCTGACTCATATTTACACCATAAGTAGTGCTTAGTGAGACTAGATGAATCCTAAAAGGATTTCCTTGAATGGGCCTATTTGGCTAAGATATGAACATTTCAAGTTTAGGAATGAAAATGTAGATAGATTGGTCGTTGTGCATGAATTATAATGTTAATGTGTCAAAAGAAAAATCTACTTTTCAAAATACTTATAGATTGAAGTGTTTTACGCATTTCTCCGAAATCATCCTGAGAGTGGTGTAGACATGCCTGAAACCTTTTTATTCGCTGGTGTAATAGATAGAAAAGTTAAAACAAATACTAAAATCGTTAGGACAACTGAAACACGAGTTGTTAGCTGTTTGTACATAATAGTTTAGTGAGTGCGATAACCAACGAAAAAAGGATCAAAATATAGATCTTTTCAACACCCACTACACGTGATGAAAGGCGATTGATTGCATGACTCTTCGCTACCATCTTGGTGTTTCTTTTATGTAGCAGCTATATCATCAAATAAACATCATAGCATAATTTTTTCAACAGCTCCACGATTTATCGATGAGCATTTCAACAAAAAAGTATATATTGATATATGTTAGCATTGTAATTCATGGACAACAGACAATCTCCCTACATTTCCGTCCTTAAACTTGAAATGTTCATATCTTAGCCAAATAGGCCCATTCAAGGAAATCCTTTTAGGATTCATCTAGTCTCACTAAGCACTACTTATGGTGTAAATATGAGTCAGAAAGCTTTTAATCAGTTGGTGGGGTTCCCTCGTGACTAGATTGCATATCTTATAAACATTTTAAAAAATCTGGGAACATCTCTTTTTTTACTTGAGGTCATTTTCGAGAATTTTTTTGCTTCAAATTAATAAACTTGATTAAATAAATATCCGCTCATAGACTCTTTTCATAACTTCTAGAATTTCTAGCGAGAAAAAAATGATATTTTTTTTCGATATTAGAAATTATTTACTATTATATTATTATGATAATAGTAGATTCGAATGTCATTCAGAA